TTTGAATAACTTTACCCGCCCGCCCGACCCTTCTCATTTTTAGCTCTCTTTTACACACATCAAATATTGCTATTTTGACTTTGTGTACTAGTGATAAAAAAAAGATTTCATCTATGTTTTAAGTGGTACATCCATTCTCCAATCATAGTGCCCAGGGGAGGAAAGGGCTTAAAAATGTGTCGCTGCTGGTAAAGGCAAAATCTCAGGTCTAGGTGTGTGAGCTCCTTTGGTGACACAGTGATCGTTAACCTGATTACAGGCTAAAAGTGAGTAGCCTTCCATTAGTGGAAAATAAGCATGTACGCCTACTCACTTATCGCGAGTAGCATAAGTACACAAGTATAGTACCACGACTCACTGGCGATGCCAAATGACTCGGGCCGTTAGGTAGGACGAAGGCAGAAAGAGTCTGGGGGAGTGAACAGGAATTACGTTGGCAACTGCATCGTGTTTCAGGCCTGCGGCGCCTCAGCATAATTGTTTTGGGAGCCCAATTAACCCAAGGTTAACGAGGCTGGGTGGCGGTGACCCTATCGTCACGTGTGTGGAGTGCAAGACAAGCAGAGCCTAACAGAAAGTGGGCCGGGGCGCAGAAGCTTGTCAAGCCTTCTCGTCTTTTCCGACAATTCTGTCCGCACGTGGATGGCGTCTGCACAGGACCTTCAGTCCTTAGAACTGACGAAGTATTTGGCAAATGGCGACATTCCGAGAGATGGCGTAGTGTTTCACGCCAGTTACGGCAGTTCGTATGCTGCCTGCGCCACGGAATGGGCGTGCAGTGCCCGTGAAAAACTTGGTGACCTTGGATTCGGTACGGCTGTGATTATGCCTAATCTAGCCGCCCTCAATTATGTCACGGCCGGTACCTCTCCACGCGTGACGGTTGGCGGCAGCTGGGCTGCAAAGCTCTGCACATACCCTTCTCCAGCGACGCAGCTTTGACGTCCTGAGGAGCGACGTCGAACTAAATCTTGCCTGGCTACTTATTTTGGTTAAGTAGTTTGATATAATTTGCTAAGCTTCCTTCATGTCCGCAGTATGAGCAGTTAGGTTTATTGCCTGATGTACAGCCCAAGTGACCACAGAAAATCTGGAGACAATTAGACAGATTGAACGAGCACAGGTACATGTGATAACCTGAGCGTCATCCACACGTGCACACGCAGATGTCGTGTTTCTGTTTACGCATTTAGGAAGTGTATCGGGGACTTCTA